TAACCTACTGTACAGCAGAGCGACATCCACTTACCCACCTTTTTCTATTTATATCTAAGGTTTGAAAATTTAATACAAGATTTTCCATAAGTTTCCCTACATTATTTACAAGAAAAAAGTTTACCGGAGAGTCAAATCATTTTTTATGTGAGTTTGAAGTTAGACATGGGTAACCTATTCATTATACACCCGTAAATTATCATCATAATATTCTAATTTCAATGAATTTCCTATTTTATTGTAATTCAAATAACCATAGGTAGGTACTTGAAATTTTCACCAATAGTTTATTTTATCATTTTCAATACATGATACTTATTGAGTTATTTATAGACATTTTCAATTTTCAATTTTTTATTTTTTATTCTAAAAATTTCAATATTTTTTTTGGGTTGTGTCGAAATAATTGAAATGTTATTTTAATGGTTTTCTTGAATTGGTAGAGTAATAGTTGAGAAATATTGAAGATCCGTATACCCTGTTCAAAATAAGAAGCACATAAATTTACATAAAAAAAAACCAGTTTTGACCCTGGCCGTCTATGTGCTTCTTTTTTTGAACAGGGTATAGACACCACTTTATTTTATAAGTATTTTATGTTAATTTTTGTAGTTAAGGATTGAAAATATAAAACAAAGTTTCTAATATGTGGTCCATACCGAATGAAACCAAAAAATCTAAATATATAAACACAATGTTTTTTTTTATAGACAGTTAAGTGTTCACTTGAATTCAAATTAAAATGTGGACAAAAGTCAATATTAGATAGGTATGTAAACGAATATCGATTTTATTTATATAGTATTCGCGAGTAATTGAAACTATAAAAGAATAAAAGTAATTATATAATTATAATTTAAATTTTATACAAACAATGACATTTTAAAATCCAATTAATATTAATTAATATAGTTTCTGGATCCATTGATGCTCCAACGGTCAACGCTATTATCTAGAATTGGATTTCAAAAACCGTTAGTAGGTATAAAAATCAAAAATTACTAAAAATACGTAAAGAGACTGATCCTCTAAAGTCTAAGAAAATGCATGTCTCAGGCGAACCGTGATACATTTTTTTTGTAAAATCGTAATTTTAAATTATAATATGTATAATGTTTATGTAAAAATATCCTAGTATTTAATAAAAACAATAAAAGCTGTATGGCATTTATTAATTTAAATTAATAAACAAAAAAATGTCGGAAAAAAACAAAAAAATTTATGGATAAAATGTAGAACTCAAAATTAGTTTTTGACAAAATCGATTTCGACTTTTGGTTCAACTCTAAAAAAATAACAGTAGATATATTCAATTTTTTTACAGCTTAGAAACCTTTAATTATCGGAACTTGAAACTATAATTAGAGGTACCTCTAACCTATAGGTAGGTACTACTAATATTTTTATTTGTTTTAAATTTTAATTAAATGAATAGTTATTCTTATTTTTTCTATAATTCATATTTATTTATACTAATATTAGTATTAATTATTAACTACATATGTATTTCAACTTACAAGTTGTAAAAAATAAATTTATTGTATGAGACATATTATAACATTATAGGTATATATACTTTTGACATATCGGCGACTGTCAACAATTTCACGATTTAGCCGTTGAGGTTTTTAACGGTAATATGGTGAAGAGGCCATTTCCACAGAAAAACTTGGAGTGAAATAATATGAAATTGTAATAGTAAATGAGTTGATTCAATAGCTACAATAGGTACTAAATATTAGAATAAAGTTTGAACTTTGGGAGACAAAAGGTTAGTTTAGAAGAGTGTCTCAGTGGATGACGGATGCGTTTTCCAAGGCGGACTTGATGAAACTGGTCCGTCTGGTCCAATAATTTATGATTGGACATTGAACTATTCAACCACTTTTTATGGTCGTTTGCGAGGTCGAACGGTTTAACCAACCAAGAAATAATAAAATTGGTGGTCGCTATTTAAACTCATAAACGACAGTTGAACCGTCGAGGCGTCGAGGTTCATGAACTGAACATAGAACCTAACCATAGGGCATAGGTACACCAGCACCTTTTAGTCTTTTGAACCCACTGAGAAATGAGAATCAAACAATTTTAATAGGTGATCGGTACTTGAACATTCGATTGTTTATTGAACCATAATGGTTAATAAATTATTGAACTTTAAACCATGCACCAAATGTTCCCCTGCAATGAACTCACAGTGAACGAAATGATTGCTACGCGGCAGCTAAAACATTTTACTCGTCAGTAAAATCTTGAAAACCATTGTAATGCAAGAAGACAAGAAAAATATTTGTATAAAATAAAATTGAATTTTAATTCTGGGATCATTTCTTTAAAAATGTTGAAAACAACCGTTGATCCAGAGGACACCACGATTAAGGAACAATTAATATTATATTTTAATAATTCCCATTAGACCTATATTATAATCTTCCCGAAAATGTTTCAATTTTATCATTTCATTAAATAATTTTATAAATTGTTGAATAAAATACAAAACGTTGTTGATTTCAATGTAGGTACTATTTGTTTTTTTTATTTAAAAGTGATATATAGCTACCATTAGGTAATATTATAAAATTATAACAATTTAACATTATTTATTTTTTTTTATAGTAATAGTCTTATTTGACATTTCGACTTGAAGGTATTAATAAACTTATATCTCGCAATTTTATTTTTGTATTTTATAAACATGTTTTATTGTAAATTTTGCAATTTATAACTGCAGGTCATGTTTTCTTTAGACACATATTATAATCTATTATCTATAATATAATATATTAGGTGTATAATAGTCATTATTTATTACGAATTTTGACCTATTTATGATCCAATGGTTTCTTCTTATCATTATCGGTTGTCTATAGCATCTTATTATTCTATCTAAAATATTTAAATTTTTTTAAACAAATAAACAATATATTATTATAGTTAAAATAAGTGTTACATTTTAAATGTGCTCGAGTTTAGCCTGATTATTCAAACTAGTTATGTAAATGAACGATTAAAGATAAAGTATTTGTCTGCGGACTGCGACTTTATTGTAATAATTGTTGTTCGACTATTAATTATTATGTTTAACGATAGTATGTAAACACTAAACAGGTATACTGTATAGTAACTACTAACTATATAGTAGTACAATATTTATATCTTATATGGTATAGTGTGTGAAGTTTGTTTTTGTCTTTAATTCCATTCCAACACCACATTAATACTATGGGTAGATAAAAATTATTAACCATTTTAAACATTCATCATTTTCATTTTAAATATGGTGTAAAAAACAATGGGGGTGGCGTTTGAACAAACCCCCCCCCCCTATGTTCATTACACTGCAACGGACGCTAAGAAAACAACCGGTAGCAACCATTTTTCTACGAGCAATCATCGACTAATTAAACATATCGGGTTATACCAGCGGCTCTTGTCCATTATGGACAATGTGTTAGGTATCCGTTAATGCGCAAAAACCTGCCAACCTGGTATCGCCCTTTGTACTAATGTGGTAACAATAGGCCTATGAGACTTGGAGTTAAGCAATGTGAAAACAGTTCGGCTCCCACGTAGTGATTTAACATGGAAAAAAAAAGGCTCATAGACTATGACATTGGTATGAGGTGGGACGAGTGGATGTATAGCGATTACAAGCTTTTTTTTTCCAAATGAGAGCCACCCTTGATATTTCAAATATCAAATAGTTAAAAACATGAAAACCATCTAAATTCTAATAAGGACTAAAGAATATCATATATTACGGCGATTCAAACTTATTATTTCTATAATTTATGAGAATCACTAGGTACCCTATTTTTACTGTAGATTATTTATTTATTTTAGTGTTTGTATCATTTTTTTTTTAAATAAATTTTAGTTATCGCATTTAAAAAATAAAGTTTGATAATTTTTTAACGCCACCCAGTCACTGCGGAAGTGTTACGAAACAAATGATATGCCAAGTTTTCCTACTGCGGACAGCACGCAGCATGTCACCATACACCTACAGAACTGATTACTCGTTGCAGTAGGTGTTTAATGAGATAATTTCGTAAGTTTTTGCGGTCGACTTCGTTTTCATTGTCGCTGCAGCGGCCGTCTGCTGTGTTATGTATATTAAATACAGGGTTAGGTATTCAAAATGAATCATCCGAACCTTTGCACCTGGCTTCCAAGGACACCTGATCGCCTTACGCCATGTGACTACTATTTTTTTGGAAATATAATATGTTTAACATATTATACTGTGTAAGGCGTGAGTACTGCGTACCTATCACGATTATTATCGTCAACCGCAAAGAGGAACTAAAAAAATTAGGGGTAATTTACAACGGATATGCATGGAATGAGTTCCAACTTCCAACAGAAGCCACATATTATATACCCAGGGGTATTGAGGTATACCATTATAAATACATTTGAAATATTATTCTTTTTTTTAATGGCTTTTACCTACACATCATATTATAATTATATAACTTTAAACCTAAAAATATAATAATATAAACATTTGATATAATAATATCGAATGAATCTCATTCTGAACGTTCGAGCGTGAGAGAACGTGAGACACGGTTCGAGAGTATTGGCGACCGCCGTTCTCGTCCCGGCCCCCACCACACATTAGAAACAACACAACGAACGGCATAGGCTGTGAGGGGGGTTGCCAGTCTTTAGTTAAGTGAAAGCTGTTTTAAATATGTTTAATATGTCGCAGAAAACCAACACACGGCTAGCCCACGAGATTCCAAGGACGCGAAGTAAACGAGCCTCGGAGACTATACAGAAAATCTTACGAGTCGGCATCGACGCGCTCGCTCGGATGTGCTACGTGTATACAATATTATAATGTTATTGTATTATTATCGTTTACGTGACGCGGAAAACAAAAAATAATATCGTTATCGTCAACGAGCGTCACGTCGATGGCGGACCGCGGACACCACCACCGCCGGCGTCGGTGCACCGACCCGTAGCAGTAGCCGCGCCGACGGCCGACGATGGCGCCGCGGCCGCCGTCGTGGAGGTACGAAATCGTCATGTTTCTCGCCGTCAGCACGTCGTTCCTGGTGCTGTTCGACGCGTTTTCCGCAGACCGCGACACCCGGCGGAGCGCGCCGATGCGCCCCGGACCGGCACCGATGCTCACCACCTCCACCACCGATGGCCGTCGGCGGCGTCCGTTGTTGGATCTGAACGGCTTCGAGTACGTCATCGACAGCGGCGCGTGCGACGGGCCGCGACGCCACACGCCCATAGTGGTCCACAGCCACGTCGGCCACTTCGAGCGTCGCCGGGCCATCCGCCAGTCCTATCCGCGGACGGTGCTCGACCGGCTCGGGTTCCGTCACGTGTTCATGGTCGGCTTGCCGTCGTCGGGCGACCTGCAGGCCCGGCTGCTCCGGGAGTCGTCCCGGCACGGCGACGTGGTGCAGGGAAACTTCCGAGAAGCGTACAGGAACCTGACGTACAAGCACGCGATGGGCCTGACGTGGTTCGCGAAACGGTGCCCGCGGTCCGACTACATGGTCAAGATGGACGACGACATCGCGGTGAACGTGTTCAAGCTGAACGCCGTGCTGGGACGGGCCGGCAACCGCGATCTGGCCGGGTGCGTGATCGCCGCGAAACCCATACGGGACGAGAGCAACAAGTGGTACGTGAGCCGCGCCGAGTTTGCGGGCGACGCGTACCCGCCGTTCCTGTCCGGTTGGCTGTACGCGGCCAGGGCGGCGTCCGTCCCGCGTATGCTGAGGGTGATTGGCGAGAACGAAAAATACTTTTGGATCGACGATTTGTACGTGACGGGCATACTCGCCGAACGCGCAGGACTCGCGTTCACCGACCTGAGACCTGACTTCGAGACCGACCCGGGTCCGATACACTGCTGCGTACACAAGCGACAGCGGTGCGACTTTCTGGCAGCACCCACCGGCGACGATGACACATTGCTCCAGCAGTACGCCGAACAGCTTACACGTTGTAGGGCTACCAACTCTTCCTGTGATGCGTTTCGCAAGTCAAAACTCCATCACAACTGTCTGGATTTATGGAAAAAGAAACAACCTCTAGATGCGCGCATGGGAAGACCGTCAATAGAAATATTGAATTGGAATTAACGATCTACATATTATATACTTGTGATATACATTTCTTGTATGGATTTGATATTTAAATATTATGAGCCAATCAAGCAAAACACTATTAATTGTATATTATAAATTATAATATATGGAAAGTGATAAACTATTTTATAAATCAAATATTTCATATTATTTTTCATGTGATAATATTTAACAATGTATTTATTACAAACTAATTGACACAATAATGTCTTTTTCTTCTAAATTTATGGTAGAAATAAATTAAGTTCCTTTTTTGTTTATTTTATTTTTATAAAAATTATTTGACTTAATATTGGTAGTAATAATTTGTTATTGTAATATCTTAAGTTTGTTCTACTTTACTATAGCAGTACCTATTACTATAGTAATGTTTTGTTTCGATTTTTTTTTAAAATAAATATACAATTGTTATGAGAAATAAATTATTTATTTATTTAAGACACTTAGGTTATGTTAGTTTTAATCAACTAATATTTCATACTAAAATCATTAATAAATATAGTATTTCATTGTGTATAAAAAAGAATTTTTTTTAGGAATAAATCAATTCACAAACATTACAAAACAATAATCAAATAACTTGAGAATGAATAAAATGCGGGGTAGTTTTAAAATAATGACAATTGTAATATTATATACTGAAAGTCATTTTCTTATATCCCATAAATAAGTTTTTTATTGATGAAATGTGATCAAAGGTCATCAATATATTATAGAAGTACAAAGCGATGTATAAATTGTGACAAAATTTTGTTGGTCTTCTTGGATCAGCAATTACCATAGCCCGGAACTGTATCCACCTGGTGGCACACGGCTTGCCTTCTTTTGTTCTGGAGCTGGTTCTGATTGAGCAGAAACATGCTGAGCTGGTGTAGCTGTTACCTTAGGAGCTTCATAGCCTTCTCCAGTCACTGGATTACCATCTAAAACATAAATACACATCAAATTAACACTGGGTACAAAACCTAATTTTATTCAATGTACATAGTTGATAAATAAAACACAATTTATTATACATAAAACGTTAGTAATAGGTATTTGATAACTGATTACATAATATTCAGATAAATTATTATCATACAAGAAATTATATATACTTAAAAATGAAACAAAAACTTTTAACACGCATTTATGAAATCATTAAAAACATTTTCCCATTTCATATTATATGGTAGGCATATACCACCATATTTAATTACAACAGTTAAATTGTTATTATTTTGTTTGCTATAAATTGATAACATACCTTTTTTCTTATAAGTCCATCTTTGACAATTAGTTTTATTGGAAGTAGCAGATTCAAAGTTAAAAGCTTCAAGCAAATATATCCAGTAGACAAACATAAAAGTAGCAAGCAGAATCGAATTATTAAGTATGCAGAAAAAGGTGTACACTATAGTATACTTAAAGGCAATTAGGTAGATAATTTGCATGATTTAACAAAATTTGTTAACATTTAATGTTCTATTAAATAAGATGCAGGATATTTAAAAGTGTATTATTAACAATTAATAAATAATAATATATACATTTAAGTTAAAAATATTATAGATAATGTGATTAACTAATAACTAGAAGCAAGCAAAAAAATGTGATAGGATTAATTATTAAAACATGCACTAAATACTTAGTTAAAATAAATTGAAACATAAGAGATGACGTTAATGTGATATTAATATATTATAATTTAAAACCAACAAACCTATCATGTAATAAAATTAATTTAATAATAGAATTAAAATAATAAAATTTAACCTTAGTCTTTTGTAATAAAGTATATAAAATTCATAATGCATTTTTAAGATTGTTATTAAACATTATTTTATAGCTAAAAAAAATAAAAGCAGAAATATTAGGTTATGCATATAATGTTATAACTAGGTAATTGGTTGTTAATAAAAATGTAATTCCAATTTTTATCAATTATATCATTAAGAAAATTTAAATAAAATATTTTTATATTTTAACAGCTTAGGAAATATATTGAATGATTATTAGATAGATATTGGAATTACTTACTGTGTTGAAATGCATAATTTATGTAAAAAAAAAGTAAAGCTATAAATTAAAATAATAATATGTAACCATTCATATGGCATGTTTTAATGTATCTAAGGCACAACCAACTAGAATAAAAAAAGGTAGACAAACATGCGTTAATCTTACCTTTATCATTTGGAGTTTCAGTTACAGTTTTCTCAATATTTTCTTTTACAATTTGAGACTCAACATTATTATCATTTGCAACTTTATACTCAACCTTACTATCAATAGCAATTTGAGATTCAACATTAATATCATTAGCTATAAGTATAAGCGTATAACTCATTCGATTAAAATATTTTTAGACTACACTTATACATAGAACAAACTTTTAATATTCAAATTACCAGGTTTATCAGAGTTTCCGTTGGCTGCAACTGTACCATTACTATGTTTTGGTGTTTGACCACCCAAAATAATAGAGCTTTGGAGATTCTTCTGATTTGTACCGCGTTTATGTGGATTCACTTCATCACATGATGTCATTCCAAATATGTCACTACTTCCACCACCTGGTGGTTTCAAGACTCTTAAAAAAATAGAATGTTTTTATTAATTTATTGTACATACAAATTATACTTAGTATTGCATTCAAAAATATATATTAAAAGTTAATGCAATATAATATAATGAATATTTAAGACAATTGTAATATTTGATGTTATATTAATATAGTTAATTGTGACAACAACCTCTGGTAATCTAGTCATTGGATTAAAATAAAATGTTATTAATTTTTGTAGATGTGAAAATAATAATAAATAATTTATTGTTTAACAAATCAATAAATTAATGTAGGTACTTCAGTTACTTTAACAAATTGATATTTTTATGATATGATATACTTATTATTAATAAGAACTTACTATAATAGCAGGTCACCCCCTAAAAATTTTCAAGGATTCATAAGACGTTTTACTTACCATATGGTAATAAATAATACAGATGTATACAGATCAAAACATGGATATTTTTATGTGGGAAGCGTATACTTGTAGTGATAGTGTGTAATTAAATTAGTATTTACAGCTTAATTGTTTTAATATTAACTACCAGTAAATAAGTTAAAAATTGTGATTTTATTTAAAACAAATTATTTTTAAGAATTCAATAAATACCTGCCACCTAAATACCTTCAAGACTTATAGTAATAATACTAATAGAAATAAAGTAATAAATAACAATCAAAAATGTTCAGAGTACAGTTTTTGGTGCCTTGGAGCGTACATGTATGTTGTATATACACCATATAATAATATATAGTAAATACTAAATAGAAATAATAACTAAAAGTAGTAACCTTGTTAAAGAAATTAGTAAATACCTATTTGTTAATGCTTATTAAGCATGCAAATACATTGATGTTCAAACATTAAAACAACATTGTTTCAGGAAGTTGAAACCTCAAAAGCACAGTGTTATAATATTTATAAATAAATAAATAAATAAATAAGCCAGATTTAATTAGTTTAATAATTTTCAAGCACTAGTTAAATTAAGTTAATAATTATTAACATTTAACGTACATTTTAATGTTTTTAAGTTGTAACAATACGAGGATTATTCTTTATAATATTATTTTAATATTGTTAAATTATAAGTTTTATAATTTAGAATATTGTGTATCCTTTTCGAGTGTTTTACTTGCCTATTATGACACGGAGATCCTACGAACTCGGCGCCCCAAAGATCGTGACAAACTCCTCCAGGAGGCGTCCTATTTTCTCTAATAGATAATTTAGACATATTATTTTTATTTATGTAAAGAAATAAAATTTAAGAAAATCGATTGCCATGATGGAAAATAGGGCGATTTTAATATGGCACAACTAATATAAGTGGGTAGACAAAGAAAACTGGACGATATTTGAATGACCTCGCCTTATTTGGAATATCTAAGAGTGATCATCCTACACAAATTTCTTTATTGACGAAATGAAAATGAAAATTATAATTAAAATTACGGTTTTTTATGTTATAAATATTCTAATCAAAATTAAATGTATAAATATTTTAAGAATTAAAAAAATGGTGTATAATACTATAATATATAATCAAAATTAAAATAATATACCTTAAACTCATTTCCGACGAATATCAACAAACAAATGAAAAAACGACTAACCAAATCTTGACTAGCACCTTACGTAAAATGAAGAACTTGTACGAGTACTGAGAGTTTTTATATTAAAATATTAAATAAAAATATCTACCTTGAATTGTATGTGTAGGTGTAACTGTGTAATAAACCAGTACAGCCACAATGAAAATATAAAATGTACTATTTTATTTTATTTTAAATGTTTTAAGGAAACAAGGACTCGCAGTGATCAGTAACAATAAATTATTTTAACTAAGTTGTAAATTCGTTATTAAAAATACAGTTATACTTAATTTATTATATTAATACCGTACAAAAATACAGTTTTTATGAATAATAATATACAATGCATATTAGAGTTCCATTAACTGTATGTTAGTTAAAATAATATTAGTCTATTAAGACTTTAGGAGTAATAAACAAGTTGAAGTTAAACTATTAAATTAGAATAATAGAATATATTATGCAAGTATACAAGTAAAGTAATCAATGTTGCTGAAATAATTTAGCTGACATTTAAAATAATATACATAGGTACATCATACATTGAAATCGGAAACGTTCCTTTACATGTTTAAAACGTATTAAGTACCTATTAGGTATACACATTAATAATACATTATAACATTAGCCATAATAATTTGGTATGTTTCATTTTAAAATGTTGAAAACAATTATCTACACTTGTTCATTTTGATATTTTTATTCTTTTAATGAAATTAAAAGTTGTATTAAACATTAATTTTCTTATAATATATGAAATAATAGTTTATAAAGAATAATCGTAAAAAAATTCGATTGACTTTAAATAGATTTTGTTACAGAGGGATCGACCCTCAATAATCCCAAC